GGAGTTGGGGTGGGGATGGGGCCCCATGGAGTGTCCTCTTTTTGCAGTAGAAAATGAGGCACCTTGTATTGTTTTTTCCAGGCTCTAGACATGCTATCCTCATTCAAGTGTTTGGACACTTTAGCAAAAAACAAAACAAAAACAAACCTAAGAATGTAGCTGTGGGATTAAGTCATTACCCTGTCCCTGCCTGGGCTTTATTTTTAAAAATAACATCAAGTCTATAGAGTTGGGGGGACAGGGGAAATAGGCAATTCTGACCATAAATATTCAAGTTAAAGGCTTTATTTTGGACAAAAGAAGGAATTAAAAAAGAGAGAGAACACAGTCACTGAATCTCAGCAGAGCTGATTTTACAAGAATATACAACGTACTCTGTGCAACTGATTGCAGTAAAACAATGAGGGAAAGGATGGGGAGGAGCTACAGAAAATGATCACACACACTAAATTAAGTGCGGTCATAGCAAAGCCTGCCACTCCCAAGTCCGGGAAGGGTAATCATGTATCTAATATAGGTTTGTGTGATAGAGTCTTTTTAGAGGGTAAGGAGGTAAGTTTTTATTGTTTGTTTTGCATGTTTAGAATCCATTTGCCTCCTGAAAGGTGCAGCAAAAGGAACGGGAGCAAAAGTGGTGCTAACATTTTGTCCTCCGGATTCTGCCCTGCCACAGGGCCAAAATAATCCCTGGCATACATTAGAGTATCCCCAGGGCTGCTCAGTAGCCCAGAATCCCCACTGCTCTCAACTCTATGGGCACAATCTCTCCCTCTGACAGCCCTATCCATACACCATCCCCAACGCTATGGCTTGCAGGGGAAACAGTGTAAGGCTGTTTAAATTATCCCTATTTTGTTCCCGTGCTGGGGTAATTCTCCCTTATCCACTTGCAGCTTGTGTATGGACTCTATATGCTGCCAGAGCAGCACATAAGGGCTAGAGTGGGAGGCAGAATCAGCCTCTGAGATCTTAATTATTGTAATGACACTTAGAGCATCTGATCAGGGTAATTAAAAAAATAGAACTAACTACATGAAACACAGTCCTGTGAGTCAGAAGATCTGGGTTTTATTCCCTTCTCACCACAGGCTTCCACAAAATCTCTTCGTACCTCAGTGTGTCCTTTCCTTATGGAGATAGTTATACTTACCTATCTCACAGGGTGGTTGCACAGCTTAACTCCTCAACGTCTGTAAAATTCTTTGGGATCCTGAGATGGAAGGTGCTATAGAAACGCAAATTGCCATTAACTACATGGGGTGGGGAAATTTTAAGACAGGCCATTGTGGAAGAACTGGTGTGGGACAGAGTAAAAGGACATCTGAATTATACAGTCATTTTAAAATGAGGAATAGAAAGGATTGATAAATGAGAGATCATGCTTGACAGCTTATTGTTTTAAGGAAGTAGAAGAGAGAGCTGATGGAGGACAAATGGGTACGATTTCTCTGTTTTAGTAAATCACCTTTTTAGAAGCTTTTACCAAAGATTGATCTACAAGGTCAATAAGTATAGTACTTGAGAAGAAAAGAATTGGTTTCCACATCAAAGGCACATGGTACTTGTGAGTGAAAGAAGCTTGTTGTAGAAGAGGTATGTGTCTGAAGAAAGGCTACAAATTGAGAATTAGGGTGAATTAGTTTAGCTTTTTATAGCAATAACCTTGAAGGAACATGCAGTAATGTGATGAAATTTCATCTTAATGGGAAACTGTGGTAGGGCAGTCAATACAAAGGGACAGGGCAATAAAAATCAACATGACTTAGATAGGTGAGGAGCAGGAGCCGATAAGTGGCTTACCCTATTCATGATAGAGAAATGTTGGTAAATGATTCTAGGGACAGAGAGGAAATTGAGAGTATCTGCCTTGAATGATTATATACTACCCAAGCAGGAATGGTATCTAATAGTGGTATTAATACACTCTGCTCTGTTTTAGTCCAAAATATTTATATGTTGCTACACTATGTAGTAAGTCTGTAAGGTGTGGGAATTATATAAACTGCAGAGCTGTAACAGCGTATCCTAACCAATATCTTTTTTGTCCGAGACCAATACAGGTTCGAATGAGGATCAAGTGGAAGGGGGAAAATTGAGACAGAGGCAGATTGCAATTCAAAAACAGGTGGCCATTTATTAATGGGGGAAAAAAATCACAACTTGGGCTGGGGAGGAGCACTTTTACCAACCAACAATACAAATTCAAACAAATAACCAACCAGAAATATTACCAGAGCAGTAATATAAAACAAGCTATATACATTTAACAACAAGGAATCTACAACCAACTATTTACCAAAAACCAGAACAAGCATACAAAACTGAATAAACTGTAACAATTTGCCCTCTATACACTGTACAAGAGATTTGGTACCAAGTAATAAAGAAAAAGGGCCTAACCAACAGAATATCTACAAAAATTAATACATGCATACCACACTCCAGGCGCAGCTGACCAGTAGTACAGACACCAAGGACATGATGAGATGGAACCCGAAATTACACGACACGAGCTAGCTAAATCCAGAGGAGATCCTGGCTGAAAGGGTGATCAGGCCTTCCAGCTAACACGCGGACACTCCTGCTGATTTAGACCAGAGACATAGTTTTGTTCGAAGACCCTTGCATGTGCTAGCATCTAATTGGTTCCCCGCTCCTACACCAACCAGGCTCCGAGCTGGTGCCCCCTACGTAACAGGCACTGCACACGGCACACTAGGCTTATGCACACGGCCCGCTGGAATTGTAGCACACGGTACCAATGTGACCTACAATTGACCAGGCGGAAGGTTCGAGAATGGTCACATGGCCCCAATGTGTTGCACACAACACCAACGCGCTGCACACAGCACCAAGGTGCTGCACACGACACCGATGTGACCTTCTGACCGACAATTGGCCATCTGGACGCCATGACAGAGCATAGGGCTGCGACATTTTTCTAGATTATTTTCATGCAGGTGACAGACAGATGGATAGTGCTCAAGAATTAAATTTTATACTAAACAAAGCAGCAATTAAGGACAAGTTAAACAATTTTTAACACCCCCCCTCTTCCCTCATGAAATACTCTATTTCAGGCTGCCTGGATGCCTTCAGTGGCTTCCCAGTACAGATTGTTGACTCAGTGTAATTGCACATTTAGTGGTTTTAGTCTATTATTCACATGGAGTTTGGATGAGAATGACATTAACAAACTCACTTCCCTTCAAACCTGAGTCTGCATTTTAATATGGTCCAAAAGAATGAAAAGAGCAACACCTCATAAGTTACACACAGGGTTGTAGTTCCTCCCCTGCTCCAGATTTGTCTTGCATTTGTGCTCGCATACCATGATGATGGGCACATTAAAAATAAAGAGCAGCACTCTCTGATGTAGGCCTGAAAGTTGATAAACTGGTATTTGTAGGTAAAGTTTATGGCTATCACATATAAAAAAAAGCCTTCTCCTAATGTTAGCTATTATTAAGGATTTGTCAATTCAGTTACTTGGCAAAAGTCAGTGGGAGTTTTGCTTACTTTTTTACTTAAGAACTTCCAGATTATAATGATTACAAACATGTGCATTTCTTCTGTAGTGCCCATCTCTGAAATATCTGGGTGCATTTTACACATCAGGCTACTACAAAGGGAAAAGCACTTTCCTCCCCTTTCATTATTCAATCAGAACTGCCTTCTTAGATGATTGGACTTTCAGGAGAGCACTGCCTGGGTGACTGCACAAGCCTGATATGGGAAGGTGTGCACAAATAAAGGCTACAAGTGGTTGCGCCAAAGTGAAATGTCAATATAGTTATTTAATATTAGGAATTATTCTAAAAGACTGCATATCATTGTGGGCAGATATAGTAGTAACCTATACAAACAATTGTAACCTTTGGACTGCAATCCTGCAGTTGTCACTAGTTCAAGGCAACACTCCATTTGTTCATCAAATCCATAAAAGCACTGCAAGGTGTATAAACCCTTGAAAAGCCAGGAAGGACAGTTGTGCACCTTGCTGACAAAAGGCAGCAAGGACTGCAGAGGATGCCCTGGAGGATGAGGTGAATGTGATTTTGCACCCAGAGGAGCCAATCAAGGAACCGCCCCCTGACCCTGATGAACCTGAAAAGGATCCCAAGCCCTGGCAGGAGAGCCCTGAGACTGGTAAATTATAATGGACTGCCACGTTCCCCTGCCAATATCCTTTCTTGCTCTGGTGCTGCATTCCTGATTTTAAGTCCAGCCCCCACTCCACTCCACCCCAAAATGGTCTCCGAGCAAGACACAACATAAACAAACTATGTTATTGATTTCTGATGAACCACTACTATGTGTTTGGCTGATTGACGGGTACCCCCTAGGGTGCCATTTGGAACTGGGGTACTACTGAGCACCCTGTTCCACCAGTCTGCCTCCCTTACACTGTCTGGCTGAGACAGGCCCTCAAGCCTCCTCCAGCACACACACAGGTTGGGACAACCCAGCTGCAGAAAGACACAGACACTGAAATCAGCTCTGCATGGGAAGGCTTCAGGGGAAATTGCCCAGCACTCAAGTGCACACCCCCTATGGAGTGTAAACCCCAAATTGTATCGTTTTGTGCTGCACAGAGAACTATACAGTGCAAGCTCATTGAAATTCGCCCCCACGCCCAATGTGAAGGAAGATGTGCACAGCTTTTGCACACCCTACACCCAGTTATGAATTCTACAATCTGGTTTTAGAGAAAACAAAAACAAGTTTATTAACTACAAAAGATCAATTTTAAAGTGATTATAAGGGTTAGCAAACAGATCAATGCAGATTGTTTCATTTGATAGGCAAACACGCAAACTAAACTTAAGATACTAAAGAAACTAGTTACAAGGAGTAATTTTTCACCCTAAATGTTGCTCTTGCTTGCAGCTTAAAACTACGGTATTTCTTTCACAGGTCAGACACCCTCTGCCCTGAGTTCAGTCCTTTCTTCCCCAGTTCAGTCTTAGGGCACATCTTCACTAGCAATGTTAAAGTGATGTTGCGGCAGCGCTTTAATGTGGCTTGTGTAGTTGCGGCATAGCGCTGGGCGAGCGCTCTCCCAGCGCTATAAAAAACCCCACCTCCAAGAGGGGAATAGCCATCAGCGTGGCTCTCAGTGCTGGTGCACTATCTACACTGCCATGTTACAGCACTGAAACTTGCAGCAGTCAGGGGGGTGTTTTTTCACACCCCTGAGCGAGAAAGTTGCAGTGCTGTAAAGTGCCAGTGTAGACAAGCCCTTAGATTCTTAGATGTTCACAGTAATCATCTTGGCTGGGGATTCAGTGAAGAATGGACACCGATTGTGTCACTCCCCTGCCTTAAATAGGTTTTACATGTGGTGGGAATCCTTGTTTTCCAGTGTGTCTCCCCGACCCCCAGTGGAAAAATATTGGTATTTATCATGGAGTCCAGTACTAGGTGACTTGATCACATGACACTGCAGTGTCAAAGCAGCCCTGAGTCAGAGGCTGTTTGTAGCATCCCAGGAAAGATTCTCAGGAAGGTGGGATATTAGCAACTTCAAAGAGCTATTGTTCTCCCTAATGGTCCTTGACTAATTCCCAGTTTGCCAGCCAAACTGATTGTATTCTGTCTGACGGGCATTCCCCAGGTGCAAACACTTTTGTAGTACAGATGTATAGTCAATATTCTTAACTTTGGATACAAAAATGATACATGTATACAAATAGGATAATCACATCCAGTACATCATAACCTTTCCAATGATCCCTCACGTGACCTATCTTGCATAAAATAAATTATGATTATGACACAATCATATCATAATATTACTATGAAAAATATGGGAAGCAGTGTCACATATGTCTTAAAAATAAATTATTAATGAGCAATCATTGTACCTCTGTGTCTGCTGGCCGAGAAATACACGATCAGGCAGCGATAGTCCCAGGGGACAGGAGAGTGCATGTTAGAAAGGTCCCAGTTGGGGATGGAACAGTAATAGAGAACTTAGAGTTGTTTATCTAAAGTTAGTAACAGCTGCCTTTTGTCCCTTAGAAGATTACATAGTTTCAACACTTCTGCTACCCACCCTCTTGATCTTACCAACCCCTTTCAAAGAGGAGCTGTTCAAAATGTGGGGGGTGGCTGAAGTGGAGTGGAGGGCAGTTAGGTCCAGGAAAGATGGGAACTGTTGGGTTGTCTGAAGAAAAGTTAGTCACAGCAGTCTTTTCTCCCTTGGAAGATTGCAAAATTGTTACAAATCCCTGTCCCTGGTGTCTAGCCATTCCCTGCACCGAGCCATGCTGCATAAGTTGGGGGGAAATGGAGGTGGGAGAAGGATCTGGTCTGGCAGCTGCATAAACACCATACAGCATCCCTTTGCAGTGGAGAGGTGAGGGACCTCTGGTGCGGATCTGAAACGTAAGAGAACCAAATAAAGTTGTAGCATGTCTCCTTCTTCCCCGGTCCATTTCAGCATTGTTAGGCAGGCACCAGGCAAGACTTTCTGGTGATGCTGGGGTGGATAGTTTTCATGGTTCTCAGCTTCCTTTGCACAGAAATGTATGCTAGTTGACAATTTCCAGCCAAATTGCCTCTCAATCTTATAAGCACATTTCAGCAAATTTCTGATGTAGCAGAAACTCCAGATGGGTCTTGAAGTTCAACAGCAGTGCAAATCTGCTTGGTTCAACTTCATAGCTGACCAAACTCCTCTATTCAGCAATATGCAGAGGGCTGACATCTGTCTGAAATAGATTGCCTGATCTCAACATGATTGGAAAGCCACCTCTCTTTTCTATTCTGGTACCTCGAAAACTGCTATGTTCTCCAAATGATGGGCAGCCTTTAAAAAAGAAATTGCAAACTGGTAACTTAGCCCTTGGAAGGAACTGCCCTTTCCTCTCCACTCTGCCTTGAGACACTATGAAAATAATATTTTTTAAAAAACATTAGTACATTTATCTGCTTCTTCCTCATGGTCTGCAAAAATTGTCTGAGGATAGTCTTAACAGTCACATTCCTGGAATACTGAAAAGTAGCTAAATTGTGGCTTTCTACAGAAAAGTTATATTATGCAGGGGAGATTTCTCAGCTTCTTCCAAAGGAACAAAAAATATATACTACTCCTCTCTTTGAAGTGGTAGGACCTTTGGCTCCTTGGAATGAAACTTTTCTGCTAAGAGGGCAGGAACATCACCCCAGAGACAGCAGAGGCAGTTGGACAAGAACCCTGGAAGAACTGCTCGTAGGGATGGGCAGGAAGAACCAAGAACAGTTTGAATTCCTGTGGGCATGGGAGGATCACGTTCTTGAGCAGGAAGAGACTTTGAAGAACTGGTTCATGGAGCAGGAGGCACACCATAGGGAATGGAAGCATTCCCTAATGGAGAGGTTCAAAAAACTGGTGGCCAAACAAATTCAGGAATTGCCTGCTGCCATGGCCACTGCACCTGTCCATGAACCACCACCTCCTCATCCTCTGGCTGCCACCCAGAGTGCTGCTGAGCCAAACAACCCAACCCCCTGAATGACCAGGGCTACTGGAACTATGCCCTCCATCTGCACCCAAAATACCTCAGAGAGAGACCCACCCCCAGGA